TAGAGCCCCTGCCTAGAATCCCCCAGTGAGGGGCTGGGGTGTGGGTCAATGGTAGAGCCCCTGCCTAGAATCCCCCAGTGAGGGGCTGGTATGTAGCTCAGTGGCAGAGCACTTGTAAGGTCCTGGGTTATTACCCAGTACTGAAAGAAGAAAGCAGAACCTCAAGATGCGGTCGGTGGTACATGCTTCATCACTTTACCTGGGAGTCAGAGGCAGTTGGGTATCTGTGGGTTCCAAGTCGGTCAGTGAGCCCCTATCTAAAAAGGGGGGGATCTTAGGTCAGGATTGATGTGAAAAGAAAAGAAAGAGGAGCCCAACCTCAGTAAAAGCACACAGCCCTTACTGCAGAAGTGGAGACTGCCAAGGGACAGGGGCTCGGGGCTTTGGAGGCAGAAGAAAGACAGAAGTTTTATCTGTGTTTGCAGTCTTAGGCCGAGAGATGCCAGCAGATGCTTTTATCACGTGCTGACTTTGTCAGGTTTCTCCTGGCTCCTGACTGCAGATGTTCTCATCACTATGTAGGCTTTCTTGTCAGACAAGGTGTTCTTACTGGTATGTGCCGCGAGCTCCCAGTGCTGTTATTAGTATGAGCAGGGAATTTCTAAACAATCTGAGGCTCTTCGTTTTAGATTATGAAGAGACACTATGACCAAGGCACTTACATAAGAAAGCATCTAATTGGAGGTTTGCATACAGTTTCAGAGAATGAGTCCATCATCATGGCAGGGAGCATGGTACTAGTCAGAGAGACATGATCCTGGAGCAGTAGCTAAGAGCTCACATCTGATTCACAAGCAGGAGTAGAGAGAAAAGCACTGGGCCTAGAGCAGCCTTTTAAAACCTCAAAGCCCAGCCCCAGTGACACACCTTTTCCAACAAGGCCACACCTCCTAATCCTTCCCAAACTGTTCCACCAACTGGGTACCAAGCATTCAAATATATGAGCCTTATTCAAACCACCAATCATTAACTATTTACTGGGTGTGGTGGCACAAGTCTTTTATTCCCACCACTCAGGAGGCAGTCAGGTGGATCTCTGTGTGTTCCAGGGTAGTTAGGTCTACATAGTGAGTGGGACCCTGTCTCAAAAAATAAAATGAGAAGGATAAAATCGCTCACATTCCTGCACATACTGCACACCTAAAAAAGAAAACAGCGCCAGGAGGTGATGGTGCATGTCTTTAATCCCAGCACTCAGGAGGCAGAGGCAGGTGGATCTCTGTGAGTTCAAGGCCAGCGTGGTCTACAGAGTGAGTTCCAGGACAGCTAGGGCTGTTACACAGAGAAACCCTGTCTCAAGAGAGACAGAGAGAAAGGAAGGAAGGAAGGGAGGGAGGGAGGGAGGGAGGGAGGGAGGGAGGGAGGGAGGAAAAAAAGAGAGAGAAAATAGCTTGGGCCTGTGTAGCCACACTTGCCTTAGTGTCATCCAGTCCAACACACAGCACACACACTGCACAGCACACACTGCACAGCACACAATACACAGTGCACACTGCACAGCACACACTACCCAGCACACTTTGCACAGCACACACTGCACAGTGCACACTGCACAGCACATACTGCATAGCACATACTGCACAGCACACACTGCACAGCTCACACTAGTACAGCACACACTGCACAGCGCACACTGCACAGCACACACTGCACAGCGCACACTGCACAGCACATACTGC